GGGGGGGGCACATTCAACCTCGTACCCCTGTACATGTACTAGTAGGAACACATCTGTGTTATTTCTCCTTCAGTGGATAAAAGAACAAGAGATCATACAATTCTTGGTGATTATAGTAAGTTACTGTGACAACTTTTCCCCATTCATTAGGAACAAACCAGTTTCATCAAAAAGTATAAACCAATGTACAAAAGGAGAGAGAAAGGAAGGCCAACATACCATTGCAGGGGAAGCAACCTCAGAAAACCTTTGTCATTTTTGTATTTCCCTGATTGCGTCCCTTGGTTGTAGCTCGTATTTGAAAAGTGTTGTGTATGGGTTGTTTTTATTTTTGTTTTTGTTATTCCTTCAGTTGAGTGAAAGAGTCCTCCAAGAGATTCGCTCGTTCTGCAAATCTATTTGAAAATATGTGAGGCATCGTGGTGAAATCAGGCGCTCGTCAAAATAACGAATTTTTATAAAATGTTGGCATTTCTGTCCATTGGGATTTTTTTTTTAAATTTATTTTTGACTCAACACCTCTAGATTCTAGTATCCATTTAAAATTACACTCGAGGATTTTTACTATAAACCGTTGATGAAAGGCATAAAAAATGTAAATTTTCAGTTTCTAAGGACTCTCAAGCTAAGAAGTCACCAAACTTTGGCGGCCATTTTCTCGCTAATTTCTCCTCCGAAACCAGGCGACCCTCACCTTCTTCAATCACAGATATCTCCACTTCTATTCATGACAGATGAGTAATTCTTTTTTTTTTCTACTGAAAGCAAGACAAATGAACAAACTTTAAAAATGATACCAATAGTTCAAATTGTCCCCCCAAAAACATTGATGAGCGCCTGATTTCACCATTCTGCCTCCCATATTTTTCTCACCTAAGGCTATTCAGGTCAATGTTACTCGCATGTCATTCTATGGCTTCCTTATTAAACTATATTTTTTAGTTTTAGTAGAGGGTTTTACGGCGCTCGCAACTGCATAAGGTCATATGAGCGCCATTCAAGGAAATAACACCCCATGACGAGCGTGAACCACAGCTGCTGCTTGGTGAAAGAGGAAAATTTATCCTTTTGGATTTAAAAAAAACAACTCTTTCCTTAGACTCGAAGATGAGAGACTGCACTGTTAAAGTTGCGCTGTGTGGGGATTTCCTGAAACTCTAATGTATTCAAGAATGTTTTTGTTCTGTCTTTCTTTCCGCCTTTCTGTCTTCCTTTCTTTTTGTTCTGTCTTTCTTTCCGCCTTTCTGTCTTCTTTTCTTTTTGTTCTGTCTTTCTTTTCGCCTTTCTGTCTTCCTTTCTTTTTGTTCTGTCTTTCTTTCAATCTTTCTGTCTTCCTTTCTTTTTGTTCTGTCTTTCTTTCAATCTTTCTGTCTTTCTTTCTTTTTCTCTTCCATTCTTTTCCTTTCTTTCTCTGTTTCTGTCTGTGTTTCTTTTTCTCTTTCATTCTTCTCTTTTCTTTCTTTCCTTCCTTTCATTCTGTCGTTCACGTGAGACCTAACATGTCCCCTCCTATCTCTCCCCCCTCCCCCCTCCCCCCTCCCCACAGATGTAACATCACCAGTAGTCCAGAGACTGCCCTCGAGACCTACCTCACCCACAACCACGACACCGTCATCATAGACGCCAGGCAAACCACCACCAACACCAACAGCAGCAACAGCAGCAGCAGCAGCAAAACCACCACCAGCACCTTCGACGCGGAGGCTCTGTGCAGGTAGAGTAATCTAGTATAGTGCTGTCAAACATTCATGGTACAACCAAAGAGTCTACATAACAAGATAGTCCACTCCTCACTTTGAGCCAATAAAAAAATGACTTCAAAATTCGGTGGCGCCCTCTTCGCAAATGCGCCCCTTTTGTGAACAGAGTTACCCTACTTGTGTTTTTAAAAATCAAATGAAACTAACAAGTTTTTGAATAAATGAAAATTGAAATTTTGGAAGAACGCTTTTTTAAAATGGTGGCGTGGACAAAAAACCTCCTCCGGAGGAAGGGGTGATGGTTTTCTTCGTTTAATTTGACTTTAGAATGAAAGGCGAGAGGTCATTAAAATTTTAAAAACCTAAAACTCCGCACTGAACAAACAGGAACTGCTGATGAACAGCAGTCGATCTGCGCACGCAAGGAGGTGCTATTCCAATTCTTCTTCTGGAGAAACGAAAGAGAGCTTCAAAACAGACTGCAGCGCCATCTGAAGCAAAGAGCGGACTTCCGGTGGACACTTCTTTGGCTGAGTGGACCATCTTGTTATGTACTATCTTTGGTGCAACTGTCAAATACCTCCTCAACTATCCAACATATGATAAACTCTCCAACTTCTTTTGCACAGTGACTTGTATCAATTTGTCTTAACAAATGGTTGATGGTGAGGTGAAATTTGACAAAGGAGAAGTGTTGAAGACCCTGGAGGAAAAGTTGCGGGATGAAGAAGACAGGGAGACAGCAGAACACCACGCAGTCATTAGGATGCGGGACATGGGGATAGAGAGAGGGGAGAAGGAAGAAAGGAACGATTATCTGGAAAGGAAAGACGTCGCCATCATCAGACAGCCACCTGAACAATCAGTATGGATACCTTGCGGGCTTTGGTGCTGGGGGGAACTGAGCACTTCTGGACCTGTCCGGTGTGAAATGGCGTTGTTGCCCAGCACAGGTAATACAGGTAATACAGGTCTTAACAAATCAATATTTTTGTAAACACCTGTTAGCTCTATTCTAGAAAAGAGCTTAATAACTACATGTACTAATAAGAAATGCTAGTCAATGATTTCTAAATATTTTTAAAAGTTTACAGCTGGGGCAATACCGCTTTAAAAGGCAAGTTCGTCATTTTTATCTAATCGCGACATTATGCCTATATGCTATTGAACGTATGTTTTTAGAGCTTTTAGTGCACGAATTGTTATTGTGTTCACTATAAAACTAATTTCTTTTAACTAGTTTTGCCACTAAAAGTGTCATTGGTGAGCTGTGACCTAGGCAATATGCGTACGCAAAATGTGTGTGAGAAACGGGAAGTGCTGTGAACAATCCCTTTTTCCGCATGATGGAGACTTATAGTATTTCATTATAAATTTATGAAGAAAAGATTATAAATCTCGATGAAAATAAGACAAATTGATACAAACTGCTCTGCAAAGTAAGGCTGACAGGGATTCATCCGTTAATGAGATATGTGAGGATAAGTTGCACAAGGGATTTTTGACCGCTCTATAGCTGGGTACCCGTTCGATGAACAGACTCAAAAGAATCGATCGTCAAGTCATTGTGGAATTAGTGCGCACTGTTTGTGAACGGAAGCCTCACTTGTTTACAATGGCGTCTTAGAAGACGGACTTTCTCTAGATAAGATCTAAACGAAACTTATGAAAAAAGTGAAAATTGAACTACGGTGACTTAAGACTCCTTAATTTTACTGTGCACCCTTTAGATGATTCTGAACCACGATTAATTTTCTCCAATTCGAAAGTTAAATGGTTCGGAAGTTTTTTGACAACCAAAGTGGCGAACTTTCACAAATATAATATATAGATATATATGTGTATATTATTGTCAAACCTCTAAGGAGCCCCCCC